GAGTTTCGCTCCTTACCCAGGCTGGAGTGCAATGGCGCGATCTCGGCTCACCGCAACCTCCGCCTCCTGGGTTCAGGCAATTCTCCTGCCTCAGCCTCCTGAGTAGCTGGGATTACAGGTACGCGCCACCATGCCCAGCTGATTTTTTGTATTTTTAGTAGAGACGGGGGTTTCACCATGTTGACCAGGATGGTCTCGATCTCTTGACCTCGTGATCCACCCGCCTCGGCCTCCCAAAGTGCTGGGATTACAGGCTTGAGCCACTGCGCCCGGCCCCCCTCCCCATTTTTAAATATAACTTTTAACCACAGATGCACAACGCATATGCCTTTATTACTATATATTTAGCTTTGATTTCAAATATAATACATTTTTTTTCATACTTTACTCTTTTTTTCATTCAACGTGATGTTTCTAAAACTCATCCATGGTCTTGTACTTAGCTAGAGTTAGTTCATTTTCATAACAGCATATTTTTACTGTCTGAATAAACCCACAATTTGTCCATATCCTTAATTTGTTTGGTTTATTTTTTTTGCTACAATAGTTCTGTTGTGAATAACTGTGTACATGTGTCCAGGTATACACATGCAAAAGTTCCTCTAGCATAACTTGGCACTGTAATTTGTGGCTGCCAAGTTCAAATTTTCCAAACAATACAAAATTTCATTGCAAAGTAGTTATAATAATTCATATTCTCATTAGGTGAATGGCAGATTCTTCTTCTACTCTTGTCAAGGTTTTTAAATTTTTGCTGTTCTAATGAATGAAAAATGGTATCTCATAGTGTTTTAATTAGTGTTTCCCTGACTGTGAATGATATTGAGCCCTTTTCATAGGTTCATTTGCCTGTCTTGTTTCCTCCTCTCTAAAATACCTGTTCATATCTTTTCCCATTGGGTTTCTTGTCTTGTTAACAACACTTCTTTTTTTTTTTTTCTTTTTTTTTTTTAATAGATGGGGTTTCACTACCATGTTGGCCAGGAGGCCAGGATGGTCTCGATCTCCTGATCTCGTGATCCACCTGCCTTGGCCTCCCAAAGTGTTGGGATTACAGGCGTGAGCCACCACGCCTGGCCAACAACACTTCTTTATATAAACTGAATACCAATCAATATTTGGTTATGTGTGTGGCAAATACCTCCTACCACTTTCTAGTTTATATTTGTGTGTTCCTCTAGTGCACCTCTCTCAAGTTATCATTTACTTGTAAGCATTTAAAAATATCAGTTATGGTGTTTTTGACTTATGCATTACTTAAAGTCTTAAAAATGCCTATATGAACTAAAAAAAAAAAACTCATATAACTTATTTCTAATTATTCATTTCTTTCTTTCTTTTTTTTTTTTTTTTTTTTTTGAGACAGAGTCTTGTTCTGTCACCAGGCGCTAGGCTGGTGCAGTGGCGCGATCTTGGCTCACTGCGACCTCTGCTTCCCAGGTTCAAGCAATTCTCCTGCCTCAGCCTTCTGAGCAGCTGGGACCACAGGTGCGAGCCACCACACCCAGCTGATTTTTGTATTTTTTAGTGGAGACGGGGTTTCACCACGGTCTCGATCTCTTGACCTCATGATCCGCCCACTTTGGCCTCCCAAAGTGCTGAGATTACAGGCATGAGCCACCACGCCTAGCCTAATTATTCATTTCCTACTGGATTACATTACTGCTAAAATCTGAAACTTGTTGGTGCTTGCTTTATGGCTTCTGTGTGAACAATTTTTTTGTAATGTTCCACGTGTTCTTGAGAGGACTATATATTCTCTAATTGTTGGGTACAGCATCCTATTTACATCTTTTAGGTCAAGCATGTTGATTGTGATTTTAAATTTTACATATTTACCGTTCTTTTGTCAGCTTCAGCTACCAATTATGGAGAGATATATATTGAAATGTTCCACTATAATGATGGATTTGTTACTTTTAATCTGTAATTTTATCACTTTATTGTTTTGTACATTTTGAGTCCCTATTTGGTGCATGCACTTTTTTGAATTTTTACTTGTTTCTCTTGAGAAGAGCCCTTACCATGGTAACACATTTTGTTTGAAAAAATGTATGCTGCTTAAGGTCATTTTTTTCCTGAAGTGATATATTTAACCCTGTTTTCACTGGTTCATTGTGATTGTACGTATTTTTTCTTCTTTTACTTTCAACTTTATCAACTTTCATCCTTTTACTTTAGATCTTGCCGTGTACTCATTTTAAAACTTTATTTTGTGACTAGCATATAGCTCAATGTTTTCCCACCCAATCTGACTATCTGTATCCCTTGGCTGGACAACCGAAATTATTTTCATTTATTTTCATTAGTAATCCATTTAAATTTGTGTTTCTTACATTACTTCGTAGTTTTCTGTATCCTGACTTTTCTGTGTTTCTTTCTGTTTGTGCAAATTTGAATTTGTTTATTTTCTTACTCTATCTTTCCTTCCACTTATTCGGACTGCCTATTTTTGCAGTGGCTACACTTGAAATATTACTATGTATTTGGACCACAACAACTATTTGGACTTACCAAAGTCCAAAGTTAGTCTTATCCTGATGTCTTTCAAAACCATATACAAACTTAAAATATTTGCTATTCTGAGAACCAGTCTCCAAAACACCTTTTATTTTTGTTCATTATTTTAGTTTTTAATCTAATCACAACAGACATTAGCAACATTATAATTGTATGAAATGTTTGTTTAAATTTGCATACATGTTTTCCAGTTTCATTTTTCTCATTTTCTCCTGTATTGGGCAGCTTTCTCATTTTCTGAAATACATACAAGTTTCATTAGTGAAAGTCTGCTGACTAGACTATATCAGGGTTTGCTTATTTAAACATGTCCTTATTTCATCCTCATTCTTTTTTTTTTTTTTTTGAGACGGAGTTTCGCTCTCGTTACCCAGGCTGGAGTGCAATGGCACGATCTCGGCTCACCGCAACCTCCGCCTCCTGGGTTCAGGCAATTCCCCTGCCTCAGCCTCCTGAGTAGCTGGGATTACAGGCAGGCACCACCATGCCCAGCTAATTTTTTGTATTTTTAGTAGAGACGGGGTTTCACGATGTTGACCAGGATGGTCTCGATCTCTTGACCTCGTGATCCACCCGCCTCGGCCTCCCAAAGTGCTGGGATTACAGGCTTGAGCCACCGCGCCCGGCCATCCTCATTCTTAAAGGATATTTTGCTGAATGTCCTGTTTCAGGTTGATGGTTGTATACGTTAGCATTCAGATGGCATTCTTTCACGATCTTCCAGCTTTCACTACTACTTTTGAGAGCCTTCTCTTTTTAATTGTTTTTCTGTGAGTGATTTGCATTTTTCCTCTCTGTGCCTTATAATCCTTTATTTTGTCATTGGTATTCTGCTGTTTGATATTCTACAATACGCCTAGGTGTAGATTTGGTTTTATCTATGATATTTGATATGAGTTTTGCATCCTCTTTCTGAAGATTATTGCCTTTCATCAGTCATGGAATATCATCAATCATTATCTTAACTTTTTTTTTTTTTTTTTAGAGACAGAGTTTTACTCTTGTTGCCTAGGTTGGAGTACAATGGCGCGATTTTGGTTCACTACAACCTCTGCCTCCTGAGTTCAAGCAATTCTCCTGCCTCAGCCTCCCAAGTAGCTGGGATTACAGGCACCCACCACCACAGCTGGCTAATTTTTGTATTTTTAGTAGAGATGGGGCTTCACCATGTTGATCAGGCTGGTCTCGAATTCCTGACCTCAGGTGATCCACCCGCCTTGGCCTACCAAAGTCTTGAGATTACAAGTGTGATCTACCACGCCCAGCCTACCATTAAATACTGCCTCTCCTCCATTCTTTCTCTTCTTTTCTTCTAAAAATTCAATTAACTAATTCTTCGTCTTCTTGCTAAGTCTTTTCTATGCTTTCTATTCTCTGCACTGCATTTAGTAACTTTTTTTTTTTTTCCTTCTTTATATACTTTCTTAAAAAACTAGTCTAGTTCTGTGGTGGAGGCAGTGGGGTAGCTGGAGGCATCCAGAAGGGCAGCATAACGGCCACCCCCATGCCAATTACGGTGACAAAGTTAGAAGGGTCCATGGGAGGCTCAGGAGGAGGGGGCGGAACCAGGCGGTGGAGGGGGAGGGGCCCCAGGCGGCAGAGGCTGCTGGATCCCGGGGGGCAGGGACACCATAGTGGGGTTGCCTTGCATCTGAGGGGCTCCTGGAGAAGCTGTGGCAGCCGCCTGCTGCTGTTGCCATGGCGGGATGGACCCTGTGCCAGCGCTTGTGGTGGCAGTCGTCGTATTTTGCTGCCATGGCAAGGGGGTACTGGAAGCCATACTGCTGCTGGGCAGAGGGAGTGGCGGAGGCAGCTGCTGCTGCTGCTGTTGCCATGGGGGAAGAGGACTAGAGGGAGGGGGCGGGGGCTGCCCACTGGGAGGCGGTGGCAGCGGCGGCATCATACCTTTTCCCTGATGCAGGCGATAGACCCCAGAGCCCACAGGCGTACTTCCCAGGTACTGATCCACTGGAGGAGGGCCATGGTGCCCAGGTGGGTGGGGGCCCTGGTTCATCGGAGGTGGTGGTGGCTGCATCCAAGGGGGGGGGTCCACTGGGGTTATGTTGCATGGGATGTCTGCCATGCCCACCTGTCAGGCTGGGTAACGGGTGTGGGAAGCTGTGGGGGTTGCCTCCGGGCCCACCAGGACCACCTTCATGCATGCCGTGGTAAGGCCGAGTCTCTGAAGGGCCAGAATTCATCCAGGTTGGGCGGCTCTGGGTGGTGGACATGAGAGACGGTGCAGGTGGGTTGTTGGTGGGAGCAGCAGGACGAGGTGCGCTGGCCAGGGGTGTGGTGGCAAGCCCAGAGGTGGAACCCACAGATGCTGGGACGGGCGCTTCACCCAGTTCAGCCATGAGGGACAAATATTCTTTATCCATCCGTGGTTTATCCTGAGCTGATTGGGGATAATGAGGCCTTTGGAATTAGCAGTCTGAAGCGATGTGGCCAGCCCCTCCACACTTTGTACAAACTGTGGTGTTGGTAATGCTGCAGGTCTCTGAAATCTGCCAGGGTCTTAAGATCCTGTTGTCGCCTTCCAGAAGGGTCCCATTCAAGCAAGCCAACTCCGGAAGCTGCATCTTCTGTAGATCATTCTGGTCTTCTGGGGTCTCGATACCCTGCTTCAAGATGTTTCTTATCTGTTCCACTGCCTTTTTGATGTTCTCCACTGTATTGGCGTGACCAGGGCATGAAGTGGCTCATCTTCTCCCGGCAACATCTGGCTGTCTTTGCGCCCAACCTTCTCTTCTTTCACAGATCCTTTCCACCGGATCATAATCTTCGCACTGCACTCCTTCTCTATGTTCTTTAGGGTGTTCCCTCTGGGCCCAATGAGCAGCCCCACAAAGTTGATTTCTGGGTACTCATCTTGTGGAATCATGACTTTATCACTCACACGTGTTGCTGTAGGTTTGTAATCTGCTGGTGGCTTAAAATCTGGGTTGAGTGCAACCATCTCAGTGATGAGGTTGTGCCGCTCCTCTTCCAGCGTTTTGTGGGTGCAGAACTCTCGTGTGTTTAGCCGCTTCCCCTCGCTATTGCAGATGGGCTCAGGGGAAGGGGACCTGTCCTCAGCGTTAGGGGGGATGCCCAGGTCTCCTGTGCGCAGTTACGAGTCAGGTCTTCTATCTGCAGTTGCACTATGTAAGCTCCTTCTTGTTCTCGAGTAAGTCCAGCGGGAATAACCGCAGGCATTCCCGGAATCACCGTCTTCTGTTCCATTGTGTCTGGGTTCCAGCGGCTCCTCTTCCGCTTCTTACTTGGGAAGTCCAGCGGCGTGCGTTCGCTCTGGTCGCCATGGCGCCCCCGGGGACCGGCACCGGTAGCTGCTTTTCCTCGGCGACGGCTTCTCCTTTGCAAGTCTCCCGGGGGGAGGGGACCCGACTGCGCCGCCGCCGTAGCGCGCGGAGCCCGTCCTCTCACGCGGCAGGCGGTGGCGGCGCGAGACGCACAAAGAGGGAGGAGAGAGGGCGTCGTGGGGGTGGGCTGAGGGCGGCGGGGCCGGGGCCTGGATTGGGCCGGGCTGAGGCGAAGGGTCGAAATCGGCGGCCTCCGATTGGCGGAGCCTCGGTCCTTCTGGATGCGCGCTGGGATTGGCCGAACCGTTAGGCCTGGTGAGGAAATGGCGGCGGAGTCCGGTGGGCTGGGAGGTGTGTTGCCGCGCACTTCCATTTGTTCGTGAGTAACTTTTCAATATCTGTTACACCATTATCTAATTTTTTCTTCAGCTGTGTATAATCGACTGTCCAATACTTTGAGATTTAAATTTAAGTGCTTGTATTTTTTTATTTTTAAAAGTTGGTTTGATTTTTATTTAAATCTGTCTGATAATTTTATAAGGTCTTTTGTTGCTTGATAAATAAAAAGTTGTTTTTGAAAAATTATATATTTTTAAGAAATATGTCATACCTATTTTATATTCTCTATCTTAGAATTATTCTAATAGTAAAATCATCAATACCCTAACTTTATGGATTTTTGTTTCTGTTAAATTCACTTATAGCTGATTATTTTCTTGTGTGGTTGATAATTTATTTCCTTGTGTTGCTGTTGTGAGCTCCTATTTTGTTCAACTTAATCTCTAGGAATCATGTGAGACTAAACTGGCAATACTTTCTTTCCGAGAGAATTTGTTTCCTTCTTGGAGCTGGCAGTGGGGTGCTTCTAACCTTAGATCTCTTTAGCTTTTTTGGAGGATTCATACTAATGCATATTGCCCAGATTCAGCTCCCTCAACTTGCAGCAGTGACAAAATTTAGCCACCCAAGTCCTCTGCTACTGTTGAAATTTACTCTAAGATAACTCCAGATTTGGTGATATTGTTCACCTATCTGGCTTCAGTTTCAGCTTGCTACTCCTTTTTTATTCCTTTTTATCTCTTTAAATTTTTTTCTTACTTTTTTATATTCCCCTCACTACATTAAAAACCTGTTGTTGTTGTAGTTTACCCAGGATCAGTGTGTCCCTAGTCCTATGTATTACCAAGATCTGATATCCCAGACCTTTTTCACTTACAGCAGTAAACATCTCTCAGGGGCTTTATTCTGACATACGCTGTTTCAGCGCTTACCATGTGCCAAGCTCTGTACTGGATGCTGTAGAGAATAATGTTCTTGTTCTTGGGAGCATGGAATCTGATGGGAAAAATGGACATGTGCGCCAGAAATGATTCTATAAGGCAGCCTGAGATATATGCTGAAACGGCCACAACCACCAAGCATGGCAAAGGCTGAGGAGGGAGGGCTTCGCGCTCCCTGGGGAAAGCTGAGACTGTGAGGCAGAAGCTCATGCATTGAATATAAGCTTCCATTTCATAGCAGTCCAAGGGTGTACTGCTGGGCAAAAGTTAAATCAAGTCTCTTTCATGTTAAGAGCAACTGATGTGAAGGGCATAGGCTTACTGCAGAAATCTGAGGAAGCATTCCAGACAGCCCATGCTGTTCTCCTAGTCACAAACCTCCACTTGTACTAGGAAATTATTCAGAAGGTGCATGGCTGAGTAAAGATGGAACACATTTAGGTATTCCAAATATTTCCCAGGAAGAAATAGCCAATGCTTACACTGCTATTAAAGACAACTTCTAAAGTGACTACTGTTTGTCTACTGGTGTTTTCTATTATAGCCTTATTTTAAGAGGGCTGTAACTTGACTGTAAAAATTCCCCCTGGGTGAAAACTTGGCATACCAGAGTGCTCCCTTTCAATAATGCTTGCTTTTTTTTTTTTTTTTTTTTTTAAAAAAAAAAAAAAAAAAGATTTGTTTTACAGTAGCCAAGGTCTTTCAAAGTCAAAAAAAAGACCACAAAGCTCTTAGTATTGGAGAGAATTGATTCTTTCTATAGATGTTTGCATTCTGTACTGCATGGAAGATAAAAAATAAATAAAACAAGAATCAAACCTATTTGTCTTCTTAATGTACAAAACAAATGCCCAATTTTAGATAGCAGTCTTCATGCAGTGTGCCCAAAATTACAATAACAAAGCTATATAATGTCTACTAAAGGAAAGAGTGTTTTGTAATTTTATTTTTTAAGTAACAGATGCAGTTGTAAGACACCAGCTGGCTAAAGTAGTATAACCCAATAGATGGAACTTACATAGAAGCAGACAGCAGTTTTGCTATTTCTACTGAGTCAGATGAGCTCTACCAAGAATAATATTGCAAATAATTGTAATACAGTGATTGTATTACAATTGTAATTGTAATACAGTGAATAATATTGTAAAACCTCCAGTGATAATAAAAAAATTCAATAATATATTTAGTATATTGCATAATGTGCTTTGCTTTAAAGAACAAAAGAAAACAGTGAGGGATGGAGAAGATACTCTACTCAATGGACATCATATAAGGCATAAAGCACTTGAGATAGGAAGCTGAAGCTGTTGTGTTTTTTTGGTAGCCTCAGTTCCCACATGCTTCTTTTCTTGAAGTGCTGAATGCAATTCCAGTGACTAAAGATACATGATCTGAATATGAGTAGGTGCCACAACAGAGACAAAGCCATCTGGTCTACCGCTGAAGGAAGTGCAGGCTCTACTCTATTTCGAATGAGCTGGCACGTGTTATCTACAAAGTGGTGCCTTTCTAAGAATTGTTAAGATTAAGTTTTCTTATATACAATTAAGTTTTAACTCATTTATCAGTTTTAGAATCTAACTGCAGAGTAAGACGTGACTTTGTGTTCTATGTTAACAGAAATCATAAGGAAAAATGTGTGTTCTTACCCTTCAAAGTTATAGAGATGAGAAGGAAATTAGAAAAATAGAATTATAGAAATAGAGATTAGTGGTTGCTGTTGCCGGGGTTAAGGAGGGCAGGTAGAGAGGGCAGTGGATGTGGCTATGGAAAGTCAACATGAGGGATTTTTGTAATATTGGAAATATTTTGTACCTTGCCTGCATCAGTGTCAATATTTTGGTTGTGATACTGTGCTATAGTTTCTAAAGATATTACCACTTGGGAGAAAGGTGTACAGAATTCCTCTTATTATTTTTTACAACTTAATGTGAATCTATAATTATATGAAAATAAAAAGTTTAATTGAAAATATCAGGTTTACCTTAATAATACATATAATAAAAAGCGAGACCAGTAACAACATGGACTCTAATAGAAGAGGGATCAGTAAGTTATGGTCCACAGGCCAAATCTGGCTCACTGCTTGTTTTTATAAATAACCTTTTACTGGAACACTGCTGTCTTAGTAAATTATCTATTGTCTATGGATGCTGCTGTGCTACAACGGCAAAATCAAATTGTTGCATTGGAGATGGTATGATCCACAAAGCCTAAAATATTTACTATCCTGCTCTTTACTAAATATATTTGCCGATATAGAATATAAACTAGGCTGGGCTGAGTGGCTCACGCCTGTAATTCTAGCATTTTGGGAGGTTGAGGTGGGTAGATTGCTAGAGTCCAGAAGTTTGAGACTAGCTTGGACAAAATAGGGAGATCCTTTCTCTGTCAAAAATAAACAAATAAGCTGGGCATGGTAGTGTGTGCCTGTAGTTCCAGCTACTTGGGAAGCTGAGGCAGGAGGATCACTTGAATCCAAGAGGCTGAGGCTACAGTGAGTCGTGATCACATCACTGTACTCCAACCTGGGCAAGACCTCCTGCCCAGGGGAAGACCTTGTCTTAAAAAAAAAGGAAAAGAATATAAACTCTACCAGAGAAAGTACCTTGTCAGCTTTATTTATCACTGTTTCTTAGCACGTTACCTAGCACATTGTGGGTACACAATCATCATTTGCTAAATTAAGGAAGCAGCATACTAAGGAAATTTGAGTGTGCTAAGAAGAGGGTGAGTGAAAGAATGTAAAAACCTCATCTTGGGATGATGACTGTACATTTTCTAAAGCCCATGGCAATGAAATGCAACGCCAACTGCCTTTAATAGACCGATAGAAGAAGAGGATTGCAGGTCTCACATAAGTCCACAGGATCCACATGAGACCAATGCAATGAAAAGAATTTGTAAAGGCAAGAATTAACTGTGCAGAGGGTATAATGTAATTCTAATTCGTCATTAGTCAGGCATCTTACTTCCTTTTAGGTGTATAACATAGAGCAACAGTTCAGTCTTTGAGATATGCTTATAGTTAAGTCACTAAAACTGATGAATTTCATCAGAAGATTTCTACCTGTTTCGGGGGAATGCTCCTATTATCTCATTACAGTGGCACACTCCTCTCACTCTGTTCAAGAGAAGAATTACTAAAAACAGGAGTGAAAAAAATCCAAACTTTTAAGTTGACTATAATTTTGAAATTTTGATTATACCAATGAAGATTTGAATTTAAATGGGCTCTGGCAAATTGTATGGCAAAAATATTTCTTGATAATATCAAGAATAAACTTCAAATTGTTTGCTAAACTTTGACTTCCTCCAAGGCAGGAATCACATTATCATACTGTAGTCTTAAGAATAGTTTCCAGGAAATACAGTTGGTGCTGAGAAGATGAGAAGAGGAAATAATGAAAGCAGAGTCTGGAGCCAGACAACACTGGATTTGAATCTCTGGGCCTGGAACAATTTAATTTTCCTTGCGGGGGCTCATCTGAAATGAAGCAAATGATTCCTGTCTCATAACGTTGTTCTGAGGATTAAATCAGGGTGGAGAGTGCTTGGGCTATGGGATACACTCGTAGACACTCAGCAAATGTCAGTGCCTTTTCCTTGGACTAAAAGACAAAGGAAATAGGGATAAGAGAAAGGAGCATCTTCCGGGATCTGCAGTCGGCAGAGAGGAATGTCTTGCCTGTGGGACGCTATCTCCTACCTGTTTCCCTGGGAGGAGTAGGATTCTCATTTGTGTTGTGCCTG